AGGTAGATAATATAAATAGATAGATAGATAGATAGATAGATAGATAGATAGATAGATAGATAGACAGGAGTTGGATGATCACGCCAGCGACAGTGTACAGTGACGAGGCCTTCAATAACTGTGTCTAACAACTGAACTTTATTACCAAAGAATTAATTAAAAATCTATACATTTGTCCCACATTGCTTTCCTGAAAAATTGTGCGAGATACTGAGGTCTTCAGTAATTATGCTTAGATATTGATTGTTTCTATACGAAGGACCGACAAGTTCTTGTGCTGATTTATCATACTGTAGTAGCAATGATAGTCATGTTACATACTTTAAATACATAACAATTCGAGATATTGAATGCAGTCAACGAGGACTTTAACGTGTGTAACAAATACAACCCTGTCTTAGTTCACTGAATTTGTAGGCTGTTCCTATTAGAAGAGACTTCTGCCTAATCCAATTATCATATTACAGTGACGAGAAGCTGCGTTTTCCCTCAAGAAAGTCCTTGTACTTTGTGACGTATTCATTTTCTGGATCGTATTTTTCTTGCAACAGTTTCCATTGTTCAGGCTGCCTTGTGTACAGGAACTTGATCACTTTCTCTGCTTGTTCCTTCTGCTTCTCGCTGCATTTTGAACACTCCGTTTGCAGAGCATCTTTGACATGTGCTGAAACAAAAAATGAAACAGTTTAAGTACATGTTCAGTGCATGGCCCGATGTAACACGCGGTTTAGGGTTTCACATTCCAAGCGGACTTCTGAATATGTAGGAAATAACTAACGGCAAAGATTATCGTTTACATTCTGTGGGCTTAAATAACCTTTGTACAGGGTGAGTAGTAATTTTTCTTTCAATGGCTCTTCTAGTCCATTCAGGGCTCAGGTGTCTTTTTATTCAATTCCGTAAGCATTTTTCACAGACGGTAGGACTCCTTGGACGGGGGATAAGCCCTTCGTAAGGCCGCTATCTAAACACAGAATAAACGCATACACACCCCAAAAATCCATGCCCTCAGTGGGATTCGAACCCACGATCCCAGCCTCCGAGCCAGAGAAGACAGTTCGTGTCTTAGATAGTGCGGCTACTGTGACCGGCTGGATATTACTTACATATATTAGATACAAGCATCGTGTCTTACTCTTCCATGCAAAAAGAATTATCATATATATATATATCTATATATATAATCGTAACTGCTTCGTTAGCGATATAAGGTGGCAGGAACCACAAGCAAAGAAAAGGAGGCAAAGAAAATATTAAGAGAAAGAACTTTTAGCTGTGAAGAGAACAGCATCTGGGCAGTTACTAACGTTTTGCAAAAGATTTTGAAGCGGTCCGCCATTAGAGTCAATTGATAAATAAGCCCTGTTACACCAATATATCCGGGCCATCTGAAAGACGCAAGGGATGTTGCGTATTCAATGTCATCTCATATCTTGTCCTGCGTGTTCCATAGTTTAGTGTGAACGATGTTCTACATATGGCCCCACAAGGTCCGCAGAAGTGAGTTGGAGCAGTCGCTGACGCCGTACAACTCATTCGTTTTGTCGTGGTTGGCTAAAATGCCGCAAACATCGCGAGGAGGTTGAGTAGGAGCCCCATCAGGCAATGCCCACATTGTCTGAGGCCTATCCAGCAGTACATCGCCCAGTTATTCTGGTAATTGCTCAGGTAGAAACTGTAAATATGGGACTATAGTAGTCGAGGCTGTACCTTGTGAAAGGGAGGACATCACACGAGGACATTAGCAATTATTCCAGCCCAAACATTTATTGAAGACTGCTCGTGTTCCTTGAAATAAATGCATATTTCCTTATCTCGCTAATTAGGCGGTTACTTGCTCGTTCCTACTCTCCTTCAAGTGCAGAACACGATGTTTATAGTTAACATATGTATAAACACTCAGAAAAATATTCTAAAACCCGTCCTTCCGACTCCAATTCAGCCCGAAACCCGCCGAAGTTTCTTCCAGGGCTGTTGGACTGTCCGCTTTATCTACGGGTTGCTCAACCTCGAGATGTGAGGCAAGGGGAGGCAGCCCGGCAACACATTCTCAACTTCCCTCCACACCAGGTATCATCTGCACGAATCTTCCCTTTTCTACCGTCTCCCGAAACCATGGCTACTGGCCCCATGGGCCTGCTCTTTCTAAGTCAAGTTTCCTTATTTTGAACAAGACATTCTGGAAAGAACTGATCTAATTTCTTTTCACTGCTGACGGAGTAATTGATAAAAGAGGGGCAAAATTTTATTATTTATGCGTAGGTAAGTCAATAAAACGCTGATCACAGTGCCCGCGCGGTCTAAGGCATGAACCGTCATCGCTCGCTCGAACACTGGGATCATGAGGTCGAATCCCACTCGAAGTATGGATGTCTGTGTGCGTTTATTCTGTGTGTAGGTAGAGGCCTCGCGACAGGCCGATGCTTGATGTCCTCTTGACGATGTACACGTATATATTAAGAAACTCAAAAGCGGCCAAGACAAATAAGTAGATAGAAGTCAATAACAGAAATATATAAACTCGATTTTTATAGAAGCTGAATTGCGCAAGTACTGAGACTATTGCAAGTAGTGAAGTTTCAGAACCTCTTCAGGTAGAACCACGTGCGCCACGGGAAGATGAGGATAGCTGTAGGAAGGGATTTTTTTTTATTGTGAGATATAAGAAATTGGCGTCGGGCTGGAGGGCCCATTCTGCCAATTACAAGCTTAAGTTAGAATTTGTAACATGCTTACAAGTAGGTTCAAAATTAAAGCATATTTATTAAGTTTACAAGTAAGCTTAATATGAAACAGGTTTATAGCATGCTGATGAGTATGTCTAAACTGAAATACGTGGCTAAGTGAAGGCAGTTGTTGGTGGAGTAGTTACGGTTTGTATCTAATTTATGTAGCAAGGACTAAGGTGTGTTCATTAAATGGTGATGTCGATGCGGGTTAGGTAGCGAGCAATCGATGCAATAATCCCAGAGTCCATGTCCCTGAGGAGGGGTTCGATCTTGTACGGGGGGTATTCATTGTGCTTAATCAGGTTCCTGAATATGTCTTCTCGTGCCGCATCAAATCGTTTGCATTGCCATAAGATGTGATTGGGAGATTCGATATTTTCTCCGCAGTCGCAAATCGCGTCGGGAACTGTAGGAAGGGAGAGGCATTATGAGATGCGAGGGTACCTATTGCAACCCTTCGGTACTGCGTACATTTTGTATTACATTGTAATGCCTATGGAAATGTGTTTATATTTTGTTCATTGTTATATAATCGTCACTTTCACAAACGGTTTTCAATTGTACTGAGTAAAAAATCTGCAAGCATATCAGTGACAAGACGAAACTAAATTTTATATTATTTGTTCAGTTTAATGGGTTCCTCGTCGTCCCCTTTCCTTCAGAAACACTGGGGTCGGATCATAAGCATCACTGCTAACCACAAACACGAGGAGGACAGACCGGCCCTATTACACAACGGCCATGGTTCACACATAGCTCGGCTGTGTATCCCATAGGGGACTCTGAGGCCCATGGTTCCGATATAGAAAATATTTGAAACATACGTTCTTCTATAATTGGCAGGCAAGATAAAACTTAAAGGTCTGAAGACATCGGGTATTAAAGCATAATTTGAAATAAAATTGAAAACACTACGAAAGTTTGTAAACTATATTCATAATTAAATGGTATGAGTATGGTATTTCACGCATCTCTTTAATCAATTCTATTTAATATGTCCAAATATATAAATAATTAAATGTATTTTTAAGAAGAAATACTTTGTAAGTGAGATAAAATTAAATTAATATTTGTAAATGACGATAGCATTATAATTTAACATAATTTATTAATATCAACATTAGTAATTCATGGAGGTAGGCCTAGGCCCACTGGGGCTGTAGTGCCAAGGAAAAAAATTACCCAAACAAACACGAAATATCACGTTTAAGAGTAAACCTTCTTATCACAATTTATTTGATGTTCAGTTAAATAAGAGAGAGAAATTTATCTTTCACTATCTGTTAGCTGAGGCTGAATAGCCACACTTACGTATTTATAAGCGTGAACTATCCATTAACATAATATATACTCACATAGTCAAATACAAAAGCATTTTAAAATCCTATCAAAGTGACACATTGAATGTAACCCCCAAGCACAGAAATATTAATTAATAATTTTAAATTAATCTCTTATTCACGGAACATTCATTCCACAGTGACTTTACACAATTTTGAATAAATTTTCTGAATATTTTTTATAAAATATAGTACAATTCTTACAGAGATCGAAATATCCAGTCCTTTTCGTGCTATTACTTTTATTTATAAAAATATTCACACATAACATATTATAACTGTTGTTAAAAAAGTCCTATCATTAGCTTAGATTTGTTATGGATGGAATAGGAGTTGTCTTTGACTGAACTTATCAAATTTCAAATAAATCCATCCCAGAGAAGTGGATGGTTTAAGCGAAGTATTTCATGAGTAACATGCAGCAATATTCAGTACTCACATTTCAGTTCAGTGCCTTCAGGAGTGCATTTTCCCTTCTCCAGAACACAATTGACGTAGTTGTTACGCAACCTGTCGCTTTCGAGGATCTCATCTACGTTGATATTGTCGTATTTCGTAGTGTACTTTTCCTCCCTGCGGACCCTGGCGGCTCCAGCCAGGGCCAATGCTGCCATTAGCACGAAGAGGAGAGCTACGGACTGCTGCATGGTGTAAGTGTACAAAATGCAATGATGTTTCCAGCTGTTAACCTCGTATTTATACCAAGCAAATATATTATTTAGTGACGTCACTGTGAGACGGGTTCCATGAAGGAAGGGCATGTATGAGGGTATCCAATAACCGCCCCCCACCTCATCACCAAGTGTCCTTGTGTGTCTGCTGTGTTCTAGCTAGGATGTTGCAGTGGTTAGAATCCATATCAGATCAAATGGCTTAATTGCATCCAATCGGAATATATTACGTCCGGTAGGAAGAAGTAGGCAAGATGTTTCAACACAGCGAAGGAAAGAAGTAATTGTTGGGACAGCAACTCGCGTAGGATACTATGTCGGGAAACCGGCAAATTATGGTGGGGAAATATTAATTTGAAAAGTGTTTTTCAGTCACTACAAAATGTTAATCTTCCAGTCTGTTACCTGAAATAATGAAAATCATGTGTACATACAAACATACGTAACGTTGACTTTGTTTTATGAAGGACTCTCTCTTACTTTAAAGGACGGATGTAAAATGTTTTGACATAGGAAGAATGGAGTAATTGAGAAATTTCATAACCAACACAATGAGAAAATTCTAGAATTACGCAGGTCGCCTCTTATGTCAGGATAAAGGAATAGAATAAGTTACGGTGGAATATGCATGTGTTTCGAATGGGCAGAAAGGAAATCTATAATCTTGGAGCTGACAACCTTGGAAAACGAGCCATGATAGAATGAAAAGATTAGGGGAAGATAATATTAAGACATTTCTTAAGAAAACAGATCGTGAGGAAGGATGCGATCCACCTTCTTGAGAGGTAACTTCCTTGGTTCGAATTCACGCGGAGTCTGACTCTTAGAATGAACATCCCATATATGTTTCGAATGATATTCTAGAAATATTACAAGTAGAACAAGCCGGATAGGAAGGCGAGGGTACAGTTTATTAGAGGCAGGATGCAGGCAGTAAACTGCAATTAATAAAGGAAATAAAGGTAAAGCTATTCCTGTAACAGGCCATAAAGGTCCATGAGGTTGTAAGACGTTGGGGGTCCCACATTATCTAGACCAGCCGGGTAAAACATGCGGCCCCCATAGCCACAAAGTGCGGCCCCTCAACTTTTAGAGCTAATTGATATTAAAATCAATATTAAAATTTTAGTAGAAATATTTTTTGTAGACCAGGAGACAAGAAGTCTCACACAGACATAAATTAGCAGGCTGCAGGAAATTCAATGTTTTTCTATTTCTAACATAATTTCTTGTGTAATCTCTCTTTTTACATATTGAAAAGCTGTTTGATACTTGTCAAAAATGGCATTCTCTTGCTTTTTAAAACTGTAAGATATGTGACTTTAGGTAATAATATTGAAATTATTCCTAAATAATAAATAGAATTAAATTTCCTTGTATCAAAATCTAATGTATATTTCTATTTTAAAGTGCGGCCTTGGACTATTATTTATAGGGTTGAGATGGCCCTCTATACAAGTTGAGTTTGACATGCCTGCTCTAGACAATCGGCTCACAGGTGGCGGTAAGGTTGTCAGCTTTACACGCCGGCCGCCCTTAACCCCCAGGAAGATTCCTTGTAATCATTTCTGTTAGAAACTAAGTTGACCACAGGAACATAGTGCGGCTGGCAGGATTAGGTAAATTGGAAAAAAAAAATCCACTTCATCGGGACTCGAACCCGCGACCTTCAGGCTTGTAGCATAGTGCCTCAACCAACTACGCTACCGCGTGCCCCACACTGCACTACTTTGGAATTAAGGATGTATTTCTCGCTGTTGGGTGTCACAGTAATCACAGGGAGTGGAATCTGTTGTGCAGACATTCGCTTTTCTCACAAAGACACAAACAACTCCGTCCAGTGTGACTATTTAAGTTTTACCACTTGGAAACTCAGCACCCTTACATGTTTCGAGGGAACCTCAATACTTAATCGGAAACCACTATCACAATAGGTGTTCTGAGTTCTAAATTACATACACACATAATGCCTGGAATACACAAAGTTTTTAAAAAACTTTAAAAGTTTTAATACCAGGAAGGCTGCTGTGATTGTGAAAAGTTGAATATTGTGTACATTGTGTATTCCAGGCATTATGTGTGTATGTAATTCAGCACTTAGAACACCTATTGTGATAGTGGTTTCCGATTAAGTATTGCTGTTCCCTCTGAAGATGATCCGTAAGGATCGAAACATGTAAGGGTGCTGAGTTTTCAAGTGGTAAAACTTAAATAGTCACATTGGACGGAGTTTTTTGTTTGTTTTTGTAATTGTTAGTGTGACGGACCAGAATGAAACAAATCAAATTTAGCTTTTCTTCTTAACCAATCAATACAATTCGAATTACATTTAACCTAGTAAAAATAAAGCTGTTCCTGCCCTTAGCTAATTAAGCACTACGCCATGAAGACGTATGGGGGGAGTGGATGTATAGATCCACATTTTCTTGATCTCGGCACTAGCTAGAGGTGAGCAGTCAGCTTCACTCCCCGGCCACTTTATCCTTGGGGAAAGAGCCCTTCGTATCCATTGGATAGGAGCCTGGATGAACCCCAGAGTCAGTCTGGAAGACACGAAGAAGAGAAAAATCTTGACTCTACCGGGACTAGAACTCCGAACCCTTGGCCATCCAGCCTGAAGCCAGTTGCTGTAGCGACTACGCTGTCCGTAACCTAACGTTTCGCAGTAATTGCAGCGACTAAGAGTACAAATAAAACAAAATGTGCTCACTCTTTCATAGACAATATCTTTGGAACAAAATGACGTGGTTACAATTCTTGCGGGGTAGTGTAGTATAATGTTTTCTCAACAGATGACGAAAGTCACATGAGTGTCGTGCCGCGTGCGCGCTGCGAACACATGACAGCAGCAACAATGGCTGAAAGCTTGTTCTATGAGCAACGCAAGGCTGTACTGAAGTGGTACTGACGAAGCGCAACTCAAAATGAACGGTACTGTTAACCGCCACAACTGTGTGTATTGGGCTCCTGTAAATCCACACGTTCACGTGGGCAAGGAAGTGAATCTACCAGGTGTTAATGTGTGGTGTGGTCTGTCATCGCGCGGTTTGATTGGTCCTTTCTTTTTTGAAGGTACCGTAACTGGTCAGGTGTATCTCGATATGCTTCAGACATCGATTTTCCTTGCCGTTCGAGAGCTGTTTGGAGATGAGAGATTTTACCTACAACGAGATGTTGCTCCACCTCACTACTATCGAGATGTCAGGGCGTACTTGGATAACACTCGACCTGGACGATGGACAGGTCAAAGAGGTGCTATTGAGTACCCACCATGGTCTCCAGACCTAACACCTCTCGACTTCTACCTATGGGGAACCTTGAAGGATGAAGTTTATTGAAAAAAAGTCAGCTACACTGAACGCGCTACGAGAAACTAACTAAGCGTCGTGTGCAGCCATCATACCGGACACACTGACAGCCGTAGTCCGCTCAGTAGTTCGGCGCATCGACGCTGTTCAGCAGCTGATGGTGGTCACTTCGAACACATACAATGACTCTCTCTCCGCGCAAGAATTGTAGCCACATATCATTTTGTTCCAAAGATACTGACTATTAAAGAGTGAGTACAATTTTTTGGGTCCCTCTGTAGTTTATAGAGCAATGCTTTTCTGCTTCTAAATAAATATATGTTTATATGAAAAGTAAACTCTTTCTGAATGTGACTTCTTCGTAACCAAGTGACCTTGTACACTTCGCCTCCCCGTTCTCGTTACCATGCAGTCATTTTCACACGCCCCGAGAACTCATGTTTACAGACTAGCCGCGCGGCCGTCTCGAAACGGAATTCTCACTGCTGACGGGATTTTTATTGTTATTCTTAGCGGGGCGAGATTGCCTACACTTGGTACTGCGGCCACTGTTTAGCCTATTGTACCAGCCACAAGATGATAGGTGGAATGAAGATTGGCAGAGGAAACCTAAGTACTAGGAGAAAACCTGCCACAGTGCCACTTCGTCCACCACAAATCCCACATAACCAGACCCGGGCTCCAATCAGGGCCGCCGGGGTGGGAAGCCAGCGACTTACCGCCTGAGCTATGGCACGGCCCTCCTGATAGTTAATGCGTTTCACGGAGAAGTTAAGGATTGAATGGTTCAAAATTGTGTGCGATGGTGGGTTTGGTATTGCTGCATACTTTTCTTGTTTCAAAATTATTTGCAGGTATCACATGTCGGGTTTCCTAATTAATTCTTAGTATCCGTAAGTAAAAAAAAAATAAGCTTTTATATGAATGATAATTTTAGTAACAATTTTATTGGCACAGAAAATTAGAGAAGTTAAAAGAATTATCCAACAATAACAACAAAGAAATTTAACTCTTCCAACAAGTAGTGTGAATCCTCATGTCTTTCAAATTGATCAGCCATCTGTTGGTACAGGAGCGAAGTTCTGTACGTCTGGGGTAGCACGCTTTTTATGGTGGTGTATATTAGGAGGTAGTGTCTTTCAATTTGTCTTCATACTTCTTGGTGTATGTATTATTTGGATCATATTTTTCTTGCAGCTCCTTCCATTGTTCTGGCTTATTTTTGTACAGGAATTTAATTACTTTCGCGGCCCCCTCCTTCTGTTTCTCGCTGCATTTTGCACAGTCGTTTTGCAGAGCGTCTTCGATATGGGCTGCAAACAAAGCAAATACAATTCAAACACTCTTGAAAACACTAGGACACGAATTGTACACAAGCCATTGCACGAAATCCAGTGTTCATTGATTTTCAAACGTCGTGTGATATCCGGATTATCTCAGCCGTTATAGCGATGAGCTATAGGCTGGATAACCGGGGTTCGATTCCAGACAGAGGCAAGGTTTCTGTCTTTTAGCCATAAAGTTTAAACTGGCTCTGGATCCCACCCACTCTCCTATTTAATGGGTACTGGGGGCTATTTCTTCAGGTGTAAAGCTGACCACTCACCTGTATATAGTGCCGAAGTCAGAATGCTGGGGCTACATCTGTAATCCCTCTAAGTCTTTATAGCGTGGTGCTTAATTAATTAAGCACAGGAACAACTTTACCATGCCATGTCGATTTATCACTTCTGTATGTAGATGGCAGAGCAAGTACATATAATCACGTAAAGCTCTGTGACGTAGATGGGAGAAACTAACACCGCAAATGGCATATTCAGACAAGAACTAAATATAGATATAATCATAAATAAAGCAACTGAGTGCCAAAAGGAATTAATACTTTCTCTAGAAAGTAAGGACGAAAGCATATTTATTGGAAGAGTTTACTTGTGAACACCGAAACTTGCTAAAAGAAGATGTAGATAATATAAAAGATGGAAGGACCAATTCTGATTTCAAATTTGGAATCCAGGAATTTACTGAGAATAATCCTTGTATATGATAATGACAATAATGATGATGGTGATGACTTCTCTGTGTAAAAACAAAAGTTCTGAGAAGAACTAATCGCCTACTCTCCAGTGATACAAGGAGGAAACGATGCGTATTCTTTGCCGAGGGAACGTCCTTACTGAGCCGTTGCCTCGCAAAGATACGGGGCTTTCAGGAGTTTTGGTTACACACAGACACACACATACCTCATAAGGTTCCTTCTATTTTTTAAAAATAAAGAAATTATGGTAAAAAGTTTGAAGACTGCTTGAAGTTTCTCTAATGAGTAATTAGACTACTATGAAAGTAAATGAAGTGAGTGCAAGAACAGCTTTTCATGAAATTGTACGTACCGAAATTTCAAACGAAAATTGTGCCACAAGTGGATATGTATTCATTAACTTAATCGTTCTACATTTAGTTCAAGAGTAAATGGCAACACAATTCTTCAGTTAGAACTTAACCCATCCATAGGCCGCGCCATAGCTCAAAGGGTTAGCCGCTGGCTCCCCCAGCGGCGGCCCGGGTTCGATCCCGGGTCTGGTCAAGTGGGATTTGTGGTGGACAAAGTGGCGCTAGGGCAGGTTTTCTCCGAGTACTTCGGTTTCCCCTGCCAATCTTCATTCCACCCATTGTTCCACAATCACTCTCACCTATCATCTGGGGCTGGTACAATAGGCCAGAAGTGGCCGCAGTACAAGGGACTTAGTCCCACCCCACTAGCAATAAAAGAAGAAAACTATCCATACACTAATTTCGTCTACATGACTGATGCCCATTTCGGACGTAATTTTGTCACTACCCTTTATTCGGTTGTCCTAGAAATGATGACTTAACTGATATCTAACGCAGTTTGTTTTGACATGTAGACCCGTTGCTGGGCAACGACTCGGTAAACACATTCCCTCGACAACGAATACGCGGGCAATAATCGGATAAATTCCGTTGTTACGCAACGTGCTCTAAATGCAGCAATAGAGGAAGCGGTGTTTTCTGCCGCTTGTCGGCGATATAGGATGTCACGTGCTCAGCGCATCGGATCCCCACGGTCGTTGATCTCGGTTTTCTAGACCGGAGCCGCTGTTTCCTTGAAATAGCTCCTTAATTATCCTCACGAGGCTGAGTGGACTCCGTTCTAGATCCACTACTTCTCAGAAAATGTTGTAGCGCCGGGAAGTGAACGCGGGACCTCTGGATCTGTAGCCAGGAACGTTGACCACTAGACCACAGAGGCGGTCTTGCAAGAACAATATCCCTATTGAAATTTAAGGCCTCCGCTCTTCACCTAAGAACCAACCACTACATGTAGAACTAAATCACGTCATGAGCCATGTGTTTAGTCTTGTTGTTGCGCGTTTTCAAAAGGTCAATTAGCATGTATTAGTTTCATTATTTCTCTTCGTCTCTTTGTCCCGCAATTTTCAGGGGCCTGCGTAGGGGGACTGGGTTGTTGATTGAAATTCGTTACGCAATAGTAAATTTTGTTGAACCAATTTGATTCCGGTTAAATTATTCATTTTTGGTACTAGTTTACGTACAAGCCAAAAAAAAAAAACAAACAAACAAAATCGCTGCGTCCCATTGATAGATTTTAATTTTTATTGTACGTATTAAACTCTGTTCAATTTAATTACGCATTACCTAATAATCTAAATGTAATTTTTGGTCTTATATTTTCACTATGCATCCACTCGAGAGGAACAGAAGTGAATACAAATTTTAGGTAAGGCCCATCCGTAAGATACACGTGATATGTCGTGGAGTGTAATATTTGAATGAAGGTCACCAATTTCGCTAAAATCACCGCTAAAACAAGATTAGATTACAGAAATTATTTGCTGTTGAAAGTTTGTGGAAGCACTTGTCACCGCCCGACGGTCTACTGTACGTCTACCCGATGTCTCGCTTAAACGAAACATACGTTTCAGCCTCATCGCTAACATTGTGTTTACATGTTCATGTTGAAGTTTCGCTCGTGTAGCCTAATGAGGGGGGGGGTTGAGTTAGACGATAGATGGAGTAATAATTTCTTCTCAGAATATATATTTGTGCTACTAGCATGTCGCTAAAGAAATGATGAAATTATTACACAAATTCATTACTTTTACTATATTAAATGTACAGTAGTTAGATTTCTGTATTACTGTTGTCCTTTTCATGTTGGACATAACCGAAGGTTTCTGAGAAAAAATACCTAAGAAAATATTTAGATCCAAGGCAGGGGAAGTAGCAGGTTGTTGAAGAACATTACATAAAGAATTACTTCATAATACTCGTATTGTAGCATATTTTCTCAAAGCAAGAATCGGGGAACCAAAGAAACCGCCACTGCTAGGCAACGGGTGTGTAACACACAATATCAGAGCCATCGCTAAGTAATCATACCAAACAACAAAGGAGTGACTGTTGGGAACTGTGTTTTCTGTGCAATCCGTTCAGAGGCTACATTAGGAGTCAATGTGGAGTTGTGAGACAGGCGACAGGCAGCGAGGAAGTGGGGCCGCACAACACGGAGGATTAGGAAGCTATGGAGTTGGAAGCCATTACCAGGAAACCGGTGAAGATATAGCAGACTGAGACGACAGTACGCGCGGTAGCAAATTGCGGAGTGTGTGGATTAGCGATAGTGCTGCAGTTACTGGTAGTTAAGCGGCCTCCGTAGTCTAGAGGTAACGTTCCCACCTCATGACTCGTGGTACGCGGGTTCAAACCCGGCGGAGGTCGTCGAATTTTTAAGGGCGGAAAAATTCAGGGAACAAGTCCTCCGGGAGGGACTTTAAGCCGTGGGTCCCGCGTCGTAGCTTTACGGCACGTAAAAGAACCTCATATCTCCATAGGAGGTCACTGAGCCAAATTCAAAGACGTTTCCCGCCCAACAGCAGTCTCTAAGGCCTCTAATAGATGGGGGAAGCATTATAGATACCACCAAGCCAGTTGAGAACTCGCTGGCTCGGTCGGGACTGATGGTAAGCACCATTATCGGTAGGGTATAGAGACTGGTAGAATATCATAGAGGGAAGCACAATGGACCAATACTGGTCTAAGTGCATGGGGAAACCCACCCTCTCCAATAACTAACTAACTAAATAACTACTGGTAGTTACGATCTGTAGGGGTTCAATAAATCTCATTACTAATTCAAACCCCATTTCTTGTCACTCATATATGTGAAAATATGTACTATTAACCAAATATTATTAGTACGAACACATGAAAGAGGGTGAAATTGATGAGCAATAGAATATGAATGGGAGATATAGGCCAAATTTTGGCAGGTAAATGTTAAGGGAAGAGAACACGTGTAAGATCCACAGATAGATACGAGGATATTATTAAAACAGATGTTTTCGAACTACAATTCAAGGACATGATCTCGGAGCTTGTTGAGGATAGACAAGTGTTGGACTCTCGTACCCATGGTATTGAAACTTAAAATTCCGTTAAGGCGGGACGTTTCTTGATCGACTAAACAATTCTCAGCTTCTCAAGCAGGACTTTTTAGGCATACACGATGAAGGTAAAAGGCAAAGTTCTCCCTGTGGGTGTATATAGGTTCACACACTGTAATCCTCGCCACTAGACAGAGGTGAGTGGCTAGACTCAAGCCTGGCCGCGTTACCGCATGAAAAGAGCTTACGATGCTCATTGGATAGGAGGCTATGTGGACACTAGAGCCACCTTGGACGCTGTGGAGTAGAGAAAACTTTTCCCTGCTGGGAATCGAACTCACGTATTCCAGTCCGTCTATACCGACTGCGCTATCCTAGAGAATTCAGACGCAAGAAGCAAATAACGCACTGGAAACTGTATTCATTTCACTACGGACTGCATCTTTCAAGAGGGTTGTTCTTGCTTACGTAAGCACACTAACAAAGAGAGCAAAAGTGGCAACAGGAACATGTCACGCTGTACCATCCAGGGCTCTCCTCTTTCATAGTTCAGTCGGTACAGGACGGGCTAGGGGCTGGACGACCGCGGTTCAATTCCGGACAGGGATAAAATTATTCTCTTCTCCATAATGTCCAGATCTGTTCTGCGTGCAAACGGATTTTTGTTAATGGATTCTGTTAGGACGTAGGCATCAGGATTTTTTTTTTGAATAGGAAAATTACAAGTTAAATCTGTACGGTCGTCTAACTTTTCTATTTAGTTTGAAAAATGTCCTTTATCTACATGTCGCAGGACGGTAACGCACATTTAATTTAGTGTACTGTAAATTTATCTGTACAGCACGAACCCATCTCCTGTAATGCAGTACATCATTCAACGGAGCGGGTCTAACGGACAGGAGTTTGTCTCTCCTCTGTCACTGCGTGTAAACGTCTGTGGATCGCATCCAGCGGATAAAACCGTAGGAGTGTGCCCTGAAGTTCTTCATCGCATGTTTGTCAGACATAGGGCAAAAGAAATTCGGCAGTTACGTTTGTACCACAGCTGCATGGGGATTTATTTATTTCTTGGTATATTTGGGGACGTTTTGTCAAATATTTTGTTTTGTTTCCTGCAGCGTTAAATGTTAGGATGACTGGATTAATGGAAGGGACACAACTGATCGTGACCTACTGTAAGGTACTGTCCCGGATTCTGAAGACAGTATATGAATGAAACACAAAGAAATTCGGACAGGATAGCCAACCGTTAAGAACTGCATCCGTGTCCTCCAGATTACGAAGGAAACGTAAGGTAAAGGCAGAATTCTCCCTGTACTTAATTAAGCACTCGTGTGGGGGAACAGAGGTATAACTACACCGTATCGACACTAGATGGAGGTGAGGGGTCAGTTTGGCCCCCCTGCAGTTTCACCTCCTGGGAAATTTCCCCCTGTTTCATTTGTATGTTGCTGATCAAATGCCCGCGCGGTCTAAGGCATGAGCTCTCTTCGCTCGCTTGAATGCTGGAATCGTGGGTTTGAATCCCATTCAAGGCGTGGATGTCTGTGTTATCCTGTGTGTAGGTAGCGGCCTTGCGAAGGGCTGATCTTCCATCCAATGAGAACTACCGTCTGCTCGAAAAAAGATTACGAAACTAGAGGCCAGGGCCAAACAAAGGGCTGTAGAGCCACTGATGAATGAATGAGTGAATAAATGAATGAAATTAATCATTTATATAGGAGGCTGGTTGGCCTCCAAAGCCTATTTGGACGCTGTGATGTTGCCGAGAACTGACTCCCAGCTATCCTGTGCGTAGCCCGTCGCTATACGGATTGAGCTATCCTGGCTAATCTGAACACGAATCAAGTTTGTTATCCACTCAGTGACGTTTGGAAAATTGGTATAGGACGGCAAAACCAAGTAGATCGTTTTATGCATTAAATCGTGAGTTCTATGTACGAGTAGGTGCACCGAGCGGGTCGGTGTATCGATAATATTCTCGTTATGTTTTCAGGAAGTGCTTAGTTCAAAATTCAGCCAGGTCATCGATTCTCCTGATTGAATATTTCCGTGGTTTTCTCAGTAATTCCAGGCAATTTCCAAAATAGCACTCTGATTGTCCCACGATCGCGTACTTTCACATATTTTCCAATTCATTACTCGACAACAGTGCCAGAACTCGACGCTTTATTTAGGTACTGACAGCGACGAAAGAAAGCCACAAATAATGGTTACCTAGCAACGAAGCAACAGTGACACTCATTGTATCTTATAAGTTTATGACGTCCTAGGAATTCTCAGGCTTACAAACAAATGGATTTTATATTATGCAAGTTTGATATTAGTAGAAGTATGTTTCCGAGAACAAAATGTTTGTGTGAGAGATGTCATTTCTAAATGTACCAGTCACAGACCTCGAAATTTCAGTACTCACATTTCAGTTCAGTGCCTTCAGGAGTGCATTTCCCCTTTTCCAGAAGACATTTGAAGTAGTTGTCAAGAAGTCGATCACTTTCGAGTATTTCATCGAGATTGATGTTGTCATACTTCGTAGTGTATTTCTCATCCCTACGAATTCTCGCTGCTTCAGCCAGGAGCAGGGTTGCCAATAGCACGGAGAGAATAGCTACAAACTGCTTCATGATGTTGATGATATACAAAATGCAATGCAGCCTCCAGTTCTGAAGATCGTATTTATATGTTCCGCTGTTGTTGATGCGAATTGCTAAAACGAAATGTCACATGCTAAAAGTCCCCACCAACGCAGCGTCCTTGTCTGCGCAAATCATCAGTGAAAAATATTTGTAATTAGAAATCATGGTCAAGTAATTATAGCCTCTGAATCATGTTCAGTGGTTTGTGGCTTCCGTTTGTCTGCAGTAGTTTGGATATCATCAAAAAGGGCGAAGGACATTCCTTTCACGCAAAGCTTAGAATAGCAATTCATTAAAATAGGTTTTCCCTTCCGTCCTTGTCTGTTGCAATTGATGACTCCCAGTCACTCCTTCTTCTCTAAGCTATGTAAACTGTGCAATTGAGAAAGAGAGAAAACATTTAAATAAATTAAAAAGAAACAAAGTTTACCATCCATAGTTGAAATATCTACAATAATCACACGTTCTGAAGGCTGAAATTTACCATAAGTTGAAAAGTTCTATCTTATGGGAAATAAGGCCGTGTAGTCTGTTTAAATTCAATAGACGTTTAGGATGATAATATCTCCTCCATCTTCGTGATTCAGGAGGCATGGTTCTCCGAAACGTTGACTGATTTTTAACGTGCTATATAACAATATATCCAAGAACGTAGAATCCACCGCTATGAGAAACTCAGACCCTATTTAGTACCACTCGTTTCAGTACTGAAAAGTGCATGTTTACTGGTCAATGTCTCCGTGAATGACACTTTGTTATACGGCACACAGTCCGTTGTGTAGCATATAGTTGATACATACGAAGTTTCGGCATTTGGCTCTATTTCTATCTTCAGGTAATTTCTTATTATTATATTGAAATATGTTTGTGTACATTCCTTTTAAGAAGCCGATAATCGCTCAACTGGTCAAAAAATTGCCCATTTTTTACTGAACCCTAAATTTTCTTACAAAATTAAAAAGGAAGCCTATCCGTGTACCCTATTCTGAACCACTTGATTCAAGACTACAACCGTACACGTGTCTTTAGGCTAGGACTATATCTCAGTTTTATTGTCCATTTTCCGATGCGTAGTTGTACTGAGGGGGCACGCAGTAGCATAACTGGTTGAGGCACCATGCAACAAGTCCGAAGGTTGTGGTTTAGCTTCCCGATAAGATTACTGGGGTTTTCAATTTACCTAATCCTTCCAGCCTCACTATGGCCCTGGGGTCGACTCAACCTCTAACAGAAGTGAGTACCAGGAATCTTCCTGGGTGTAAAAGACTGTCAGGACGTAAGGCTGACAACCTCACCACCATCCGTGAGCCGATTGTCTAGAAAGCCTCCAAGTCTCACCACCTACGGGCCTCGAGAGCCTGTTACAAGGATAGCTTTAACTTTACCTTAAGTCGTACTGAAGACCCCGTCTAATTCGAGCACTATGTACGCTCCATAAGACATGGGTTACTGAATTCTCAGTGTGAGGATATGACTGCCCCTGCCAGATCCTCGTGCTGCAGCATGATCCCTTGCTGGCTGCCCGCGCCTGCGCGTATCTTTATTTCATTTTCAAGAGCAATAGTCGATTTTGTTCTTCCTCCTTAACCACTTTTCATTACGAAAGAAATAAACATTTTAGAATAAAGTGTAAGTATTTAGATCGAACGGAATTTTACCCCGTGGCATAATAGAAACAATTGCTGCTTTGTATTCAGTGGATGCCTGGATAAAATCCTGCATCTGGGTCCTAGAACCCTGTCTGGCGTGGCATGATATCCTAAATCAATTAAGGTAAAGCTAAATAAAAGCTGACTTTCCATGCTGCAGACATTTCCTTTGTGTATTTCCGCAACAACCGACAATTCATAAAGAGCCGAAAACTCATGGCAACGTAAGAGAGATTTATGTTTATTTAATGTGTAAAATTCTAAAGGCACAACAAGCAAAGAAGGCTAATCATGTCGCTCATGGCACAGAAAGCGCTGAGTGTTACTGCAAACCGGACACCTGCCCGACAATTTTTAGTGAAGGAATTATGTAATTTCTGATCAAATTAACATGTACGTGTCATTTTTACCATAGGACGGCGTGTCTGGATACGGCGGGTGAAACAGGCGTCCCCAGTGTATTGGGATTATTTGTGACTGTACTGAATAAGCACACAAATCACCATTTAAAGGAGGTGATGTATGTTGCTTGTGGGACTAGGGACCATTCACCTAAAGCTTTCTCTATTTCGAAGTTTTATGAAGACTCGTTCGGAGATAGGGACTAGCTCTATCTATTGAGCCCAACTGAGTAGGTTTTACCTGAAGACGGAGACAGAATCCAGTCTCCGAAACGTTGTGTTTTCAAAAATTAACTGGACGGTTTTTAGATGAAGACAAGACGATGGATAACGTCCAGGAACACAATATTTGTACTAACGTACCTGCGTCACAAACTTTTAGATCTTGTTTACCTGAAAAATGTTTATGATTTATTCTTTACACATCTGTTAAATCACTGTTCACAACTAAGCTTAGTAGCATTTGGTATGTGACACAGAATTAAATATGTCAGGGAAAACGATACATATATATTGCAAAATATTTTCCTTGCCAAGAGTGTTTACTGTCAGTGCGCATTTGTCAGCAGAAATCGTGTTTGTCCGACTACACGCTAACGAACTCACATGATTCACCTCAGACCTGTTCTAGGAAGTTAACCGGCATTGTAATCAATTGAATCTTCAGGAAGAAAAAATCTCAAAATTGCTGAACCTTGGAGGTTTCAAGGATATTTATGACGACATCAGATCTGCATACGTCATGAAAAGGAGAAAATAAATGATGATTAAATAAATAAGTCAATTATAAAAGGAAACATAAATATCCTTTTACGTTTCGAAGAAACTGTTCTCGTAATTACTGACAATTATGAAGCAATGAAGACACTTCAATTTAAGATAAAGTTTGCAATGACACAATTCCGAATCTCAGTTACATCCAACCTAAGGTCGTGCCCTAGCTCAGGCGGTTAGTCACTGGCTTCCCACTGTGGCGGCCCGAGTTCAAGGCCGGGACTGGTCATGTGGAATTTGTGGTGGACAAAGTGGCACGGAGGCGGGTTTTCTCCGCGTACTTCGGTTTTCCCTGCTAATCATTCCATCAGTCACTATCATGTATCATCTGGGGCTGGTACAATAGGCCAATGATGGCCGTGGTACCAAGTGGACTCAGTATCACCGTACTAGGAATAATAATAATAATACAAAGAGCCTCTAGTACCGCGACCGGCAGCCACAGATAACGAACGGAACCATAGCAGGTAATGAAATCGGATTTCGTGGCCTACCTTCCTTCCGTAAGGGGAAGCTTACGAGAATATCCTCTCCTTGTAGGCTTATGAGTCTATATATCAACTAATTGATAATTTTCTAGGAAAAATGGAGAATGTCACTGGAGTTCATCCTTCGTACATAACAATTACCTACAGTCAGCAATAACGCCATGGTGAACGTACGGATATGTGGGGTGAGAGCGCCACTAGACGTGCGTCCCTGAAGTTATGTGTCACAGAAGAATGCGTAATTATGGTTAAAGAAACATGGGCAAAATTAGGGCAGAAATTGAACACATGAAAAGCGGTGAAGCACCAGGCACAGATAATGTTATTCCTGAAGTTCTGAAACATCGGTCATCTGCACCCGTTCTTTGAAAAGCTCCAAAGGAATGGAAAGAAGGTATAATTGTTAACATACAGAAAAAGGGAGATACTAAAAATTGCAATAATTGGAGGCCCATGGCACTTTTAAGGGTGTCAAGTAAAATATGCACTTTCAAGGATTATCGAAAATAGAGTACAGAATGTAGTGGAACTGAGGCTCCGAAAGAGACAAGGAGGCTTTCGGGAACAACGCAGCTGTGTCGAACGTTTGGCTCATTAAACCGACGAGTTATTTGGAAGGAATTGGAATAACATGGTTATCATGGCTAAGATCTTGAAACCGATAAAAGACATGAATGAGGACTTTAAATGTCAAGTTCTGCATGATGGTAAACTACTGAATATATAAAGTAACCACAGGGGTAGCCGGTCACGGTAGCCGAGCGGTCTAAGGCGTGCACTGTCTTCGCTCGCTCGGAAGCCGGGATCGTGGGTTCGAATCCCTCTCAGGACATGGAGGTTTGTGTGAGTTTTTCTGTGGTTCTGTACAGGTAGAGGCCTTGCGACGAGCTGATCACCCGCCCAAGGAGTCCTACCGAATGTGTAAGATCTAGAAAATCCGAAGTGAACGGAGTTCATGGAGGTAGGCCTAGGCCCAATGGGGCTGTAGTGCCAAGGGGGGGGGACCACAGGGGTATGCTAAGGATGCATGCTGTCCCCTACTATATATCTGCTCGTGTTGGTGAGGAAAACTAGTATGAAGCAGAGTGGGATCCAGTGGGGCATGATGGCCAGACCTGAAGATCTAGACTTCGCAGACGATATCTGTTGGATGGCCCAGATGTTCCAGGATATGGAAGAAAAACTAACAAGTCTGCAAGAAGAAACATAGAGATCCGGGCTAGATATTAATGTAAATAAGACTAAATAAATTAGGGTAAACAATAAAATACAAAGGAGACTAAGAGTTTCTAAACAAAAAATTGGGCAAGTAGAGACCTTCTCTATTTTGGGAAGTACTGTAACCAAGAGAAGATGTTAATCATCATCATCAGTAATCTGTCAAGACGACAGGTCCACAGTCTCTTCCAAAACAATTCCTCCATTTAATGCGATCTAGAGCTTTCTCCTTCAAATGACAGTATCCTCTTCTGTCCCCAAGGTCATCCAGCATCTTCTTACGTCTTCTTCCTCGTCTTCTTATCACTTCTATCCACCCCTCTATCTTTCCTTCGATGTTAAATATCGAATAAAAAAGGGAAATGGCGTCTTTATCCAGTTATATCCAAGTTAGAGAAATAAATATATTTCCAAGAAGACTAAAGTCTGCATCTTCAACACGAACGTAGAGTCAGTATTCCTTTATGTTTGTGAGACATGGAGGGTCAGAA